AGGCTAATTAGAACATATACCTAAAGCAGGCGTAACAGAGTCAGTTTTGTAGGATCAGTGTCTTTAAACTCAGAAAACCTAGAACCAGTCTTCAGAGGAGCTATGCATCTCTCAGTCCAAATCAAGTTCTCTCAAAGTCTAGATAATTTATTCCCCAGAGAATACTCAATTAGTGTTGCAAAATTGATGTTGTTTATGAAGAGACAATTGCATTACTGGTGAATTAGATTTCAATTCTCCTGCATAAACATACTATACAGTTTGCCCATTTCCTTTCATATATTACACATTCCACAAAAGACATATATATCTTAACTAGTGGGTTTTCCCCCCTTGTTTCCAATCACTTCAAATTACTTTAAAGGTTTGTTTGATAAAGATGAAGAAATTAAGTCCTAGTGGAAATAATGGTGGTTTCAGACCAGAGCATCCACTAATTTCTGTGCCAAAAGATCCACCAGGCTTACGTCATTAGACATACTACCTTCAATTATTAATTCAATTTCTTTGATGGGAGCTATTACGGATGCATAGTATCTCCAGTTTAACTACAGTAGTTTTTTGAAAAACAAAAACAGAGGAATTATTGTAACTTGACACAATAGCTAAGAATGGATACATAGCAGGTCAAAGACACAGCAAAAGCAAACTGGGTCCTTGACAAACCTGTCTCCTTTTCAGTCATCCAGACCACTGACTCAAGATTGCAGGTTTTTTCCTTATACTTTGCTTTTACATACAATCAAACTAGGTTGTGTCCTAAATTACCAAATTCTATAGTGTTAAGGTACAGGTCTGATAAATTGGTCAACAGAAGGAAGAAAAACCTCTAAAGTGCAAAGCCTTGTGGGACAGTGAACATTATCCATTACAGCATCTTACAAAAAAAGAAATGCAGGAAGGCTTAGTTCAACCTTATCTTTAATATATTTCAAGAGGAATATATTTTTTATGAAAGTACTATGCTAAACCACAAACTATTCACAAAGAAGATTAATTATAAGCATCACCATAAGAAACTACTTAAAACTGTGCAACCAACATTGTAATTATAGAGATGATCTCAGAAGAGTCAATGCAATTCATGCTCTAGATTCAACCAGCATACAACTTCCATGGAAAATTTATCAGTAAGGAATGAAAAGGCAAGTTTAATTATTTCTTTCTTTTGTGATAGGATATTTTTGCATAAAGCTGTCTGATCTATTGTCATCATATCTATTATAAAAGTGTTTTTAAAAAGAATTTTAAAAATTGAGCTCTTTATATGTAGCTTGATATTTTGAACGGAAGCAGTATTTCATGCTACTTAGTATGATCTAATATTTGGCCACTGAATGGATGTCATTCTATCTACTAGAATTCATAAATACTGAAGTTCTCAAACTACGGATTCCATTTTATTAACTACGTTTGAAATGAAGTTATTAATGACTTAAGAATCATAACAGGCCTATCCTTGCCAAGTACAAAAGGGAAGAATTCAATTAGATTACTGAGTATTTCATTATACACAGGTGACTTTCAGTCTGTAGCATGATGAACAATCAAAATAGACAGTTGGTGTCACAACATACTATTACGTAGTTTCAGTGTAAAAAGAGGAAGGCTCACATTTTTTCCTCCTCTCATCTGGCAAGACCAACAGGCAAGAGAGGAGAAGAGAACTAAAGCATAGATGATTTGCATTAATGCTAACACGTACAACCGCCTTCCTTCCAATCAGCTGCAGTTATTAGCACACGCAACAACACTCAAGCAACTCACCAGCATCACTGTAGTCACAGGAGAAGAAACAAACAAAAGAGATGAAAAAAAGAAAAATAAAAAAGGAGTAAATTCTTGATATTTGGCACTGTTGTTTTTCCAACACATTTGTATGGGTGTAGGGGTGGAAGTCACAATGTTAGTTAGTACCGCATAAAAACCTAAAGCAGGGAGAAGTCTGCGAGGGAAGAGGGAACATGACAGCATTTAAACGCAGAAACTGTAACTATTTTATCATGTATAAAAAGGTACTAATGTTTAAGTCTGCATAAAGTGAATTGCTAAATGACTGCTGTGTAAAACTGGAAACACAAGAAAGAAACAGCTTATACTGTTCTGTTTCTAACTTAAGGCACAAATTTTATCTTTCAGTCCCAAAGAGTTGAGAGGAGGGGTGGAAGCCTTTTGTATGAACATAGAAAGGGCACGCATAGTGGAATCAAGGAACACATTTACTAAAGAAAAGAATCTCTCAAATGCTAGCATCCACTCAGTAATTTTGGTTCGTTAGGGAACCATGGCAGATTATTTTTTTTTGTACCCAAAGAACAAAGTCATTCATTCACAGTCATGTAGCAGATGAATTATGCTGAGGAAAGAAATAAGTCTGGAAAAAGCTGCAGACCATAATACTGTGGGGAAAAAGGGTTGCTGTATGGAAAAATCTGGTACGCCCATCCCTAAGCAGACAGAGCAAAGCAGCAGCCTCCAAAGCCTTTACATCAAAACACCATTATAAAGAGGAAAAAATGTCACAAACATTTTAACTTCAGTCATTGCCTATTGCCTTTTATGTATATCCAGCTCCACGAAGGGTGGAGAAGAAAATACACACTGCAATGGACCAAACCTTGTAGTCTTTACAAGTCTGAAACAGTAGCTTAAAACATAATTTTTTACTGTCTGTTCTTGCTATTAAAGAACCAACTTTTCAGGGCAAGAAAATAAAGGGATGACAGGAGGAAAAAGAAATAGGATACTATCCATCCTCCTTTCCCCCCCCTCGTTTTAGATTTCAACTACCTCAAGTTACATGAGTAGTGTGATACAAAATCACAAATTCTTGTAGCACTCTCTCTACTACTTGCTCTCTTGAATCTCCTTTTGCTTTTATTCTGCCAGTCCCCCTCTCACTGACACACTCATTTTATACACTGTCATCTCTTGTATTCTACTTCACTAATCTGCTCATTATCAAATGCAAAATACAAAGGGAAGGGAAATTTTGGTCCAACTAACTGGACCAAAGTTAAAAAAAGGACTGAAAAAGGAAACTGTAATTATACAAAAATCACATAAATCGGCAAATACTGAGGAAAAGCCACTTTTAATCCTCAAGAACCAGAGGACATCAGCTTCTTTTCTTTTCTCCAGTTTGGCAACGATATTCTTGCACTTAGACAAATAAAATTGGCTTTCTACCCTATGTGACTAAAAGCTGAGCATTACCTCATCCACAGTGCAAGAGGAAGGCCTGAAGGTTGTCTGCTGTATTATCCCTTTTAAGTAACATTGTTGGATCTTAACTATGAGTGATAACACTAGGAAGCCAAGCCAGAAAACAAAGGAGGACTGACTGGAATAGGGCTGAAAATCCTGAATAGCTAATACTTTATACTGGTCATTCTTTAAGTCTGTGGCAGGAAACTATTTACCTAATAATTTGCCAGGGCTTTTTTATTTAAGAGTAGTTCAAAATATTATGCCCTGAGTTAACCTCTAGTATTACACTGTACTACTGTGATTCTACATTGCTGTGCAACGTTCATAGACAAGAATATGGATTTACTCCAGTGATTTAACAGCATTTTATTCTGTAGTCGGTAAGAATTCAACTGCTTGATTCATAATATGCTTAAGTTACAACAAAAATTGGTACCTTAAAGTCCCTTAAAAAAACCCATCAAATTCAGCTAGAAATGTGCAGCTGGTGCAGCCAAACAGAACTTTTCCCAGAACTTTATTGCCCTTTTCCATTGCTCTGAACACAAATATTTTTTAATGCATGGATGGTACCTTTCATTTATTTGTTCTTATGAACTAATGGTGGAAAAATATGCTGAATTGTATCACACATTAGTGCCCACCCACACTTCTCTTTTGTAATCCACTGCACTGTTGGAATAAACACCAAGACAGTGACCCTGGTCTCTCTTCTGAAATACACAGTATAGAGAAACCTGTGCTAGCCCTTAAAGACAGCAAGAACCAAAACCATTATTAGTATGTTGGCACACCTGACAATTTATTCTGGGAAGTTCTAGTCTAATACAGCTCTTATGACACAGGTACCTGTGATCAGCATACTTGGGTAACAGTATTTTTATCTCTCATCTCAGTTTTCAGAGCATATACACTACATGTTAACTGGGAGTAATAATAAAAACTCTAGATCGATAATCTGTCCAAGCTCCAGCCTAACAAACTTAAGGTTGATCTACACAGCCTTTATGGAAGTGCCCAGAAGAAGACAAACTCTTTTCTAAGCTACAAGTCCACGTGTACCATAATACTTTGCAGCAGGAAACGTCTCTATCCTCTTCCTCCATTTAAGACTGAAATAAGCATATTTAAAAAAATTAAACGTGAAGAAAAATTTCTAATCAAAACTGCCTGTATGCTAGCGTCAAGGAAAAATAATAAGTGTTTGTTTAGAAATCAGAGTATCTTTTAATTAAACTTTTATTGTGGTTTTGAAACCTTTTTAGGCTATCTTGTAGCAAAAAGGACATGTTTATTCTACCATGCAACTCTACAATTGCCTTAAAATGATAAGAGATTGTATGGATGCTGAAGGATTAAGTCCTATTGATGTGACTTAATGCGCAGATCGCTACTGCTGACACAAAGGAGACAACAGAAACATGGCTGGGGAAACAATGACCGTTAATTTAAATACATGTAGAACACTGGGAGCACACTGAAATACACTGTTTCTCTGGCATAATTAGGCTGATACAATTCCCTACCTCCTCATAAGCCATTTGTCTGCAAATAGTGTATCTGTGTGGGTGCATGCACGGAAGAAAAAAAGAGAAAAATTTGGAATATTCAGCATATCTTCCTGTGCACAAGATCCTTTCTTACACATAGTTTTCTTGTCCCTTAGAGGTAAAAGGAAAAGACAGAAAGCAAACTACCAAAGCAAGAGAAACAATGAGTTTCTCCTCTAAATGAGAAAACCCTTCAATGAAAATATTGTTATCAGCTTCATTTACCCCAGGGTGCCATACCTGTTGAAGTTAATGTCCGGATAACTAGAATACTCAGACTTCATCTTCGCATTGCGACGTGGAAAAGTACAGAAGAAAGCATTGGCTAGAAAACTAGCAATCTGTTCCTGTGACATCGTGATGGAGTGATTCATCTTTTGTTTCAGTAGAGGTATCGGCTACCAACAAAAGA